GACTTATTTACAATTCACATATTTACCAGCAAGTTGACTTATTTTCTACTGACACACTCATATATGCGTTCATTTACGCCTCACTATGTTACTTGCATATTTATTTATTTACAGAGTTACCTACCTACTTGCTTAGTTACTACGTCATTCATATAATTACTGAATTATTTATTAACTTGCATCCCTACATGGAAATTTACTGATTTACACACTTAATTCTTTGTACTTCTTTAATCGATAACCTGCGTGCGTAGTTATAGGCTTGCTTTAAAGATTACTTGCATATTTTACGCAAGATGTATGTTTAGCTTTTCTAATTTACTCATTTATTTGTTTACTTATATATTATTTCTAGCATATCTCCTTAGTAATTTACTTGCTTAAGCACTTCTTTACTTCTGTAGTTTTCTGCTTAACTACTAACTTACACATTAACAGTAACTTTACATGAGTGATCACAACAGTAATGCCAATTACGATGTGACATTACTGGACTGATATTTAATTAATTTGTCCCGAGAGGCGAGACCTCAATTAGGTCGTTACTCGATATCCACCATGTGAAAACTGACTGACTATGAAAAAGCAAACCACTGAAAACATATGCTCTAAACAATACAAAGGAGGATAATTTATTATACATGACGCAATTTCGCATGTTTATTAGCACAACTGCCAACTAAAGACTTTTCGGTCCGTGCATTACAAGTCCTGTAGAGTTTAAAAGGCTCCTTTAAGTCTTCTTTACAAAAGTTGACGCAGGCTAAGCCAAATAAAGCATCGCCCTGAAGAATGCCGGAAAGAATGCAAAGGACACAGAATCAGAAAATCGTCTAGCTCTATACTTTTAAACAAAAGCTACGGTTTGTTGCATTTGAAGTAAACATAGCTTTCTCAAGGTACGAATACTTCATGCTTGCAAATTAAGATATGAATGTTCAAATCTAGACTGTGAATATGCCAATTAATAGAGATTATAAACTAGTAACTAGTAAACAAATAACGCAACAATCAAACGCCAAAATATACGTACCTGTGGGCATTAATATAAAACAATCATATCCTAACAAGGCAGCGTTAATCGCCGGAAGCTGTTTGTGGCGGAAATCCCTGAGACCAAAAACGTCATGAAAAATACGCTCCACTTCCGCAGAATGTCGATAGCTGGTGCCAGCGAAGTCGTCAGAGTCATCTTGCATCAGCGCTCGAAATTTTCCATGAGCACCTATGTGAATGGATATGAATTGTTTTAAAGGAGAAAATTAGGTTAGGACACTGAATGCGCGCATGAATGAATATGCAAGCCATAAGACAGAGTATTTGTAGCTTACCACAGTCCGTAACAGAGAGAGGGACAGCATCAGTGATGGTTGAGCTGTACGAAGCCCGTCTGATGGTCAGTGGCTTCCCGTCTGCCTTCAACGTACAAGTAACAGAAGAGACTGAAATATTGTTTCGCTGAGATAGCGGCTGGTTTGACAAACTAATATTTGTTCCTCTCGTCGCACCCACTGCATCTACCACGGGTAAATTTGACGAACAGCCACTCTGCGTCGATTCTGACGTGAGATCGAACAGTTCATCATCGGCGGTGCAGATGTTGCTGTCCCACTGTGAAGAGGCGACGTCACGAATGTTGTTCTGTTGCGACGGCCCCGGTAGAGACGCGGAAAACCCGTACTGAGATGATGGCACGGACACCTCCTCAAAATCATCATCTAACAATGAAGTCGCCGTCGACTCGTCCAGTGCTGACAGCTCGTTCAACTGTTTCTTTGCCGATTTTCTCTTCGCGATAATTTTTTTCCTGCAAAGTTCCCGTCAAATACAAAGTGCAGAAACGTAAAGCAGGACGGTGTTGGCTCTGTCAAAAATTTAACTGTTACTGGGATGAGTTCTTCAGGTTAATGTTTCCAAAACTCAAAATCGAATCACACATTTGTATAAAATCGAGATTAAAACAAATTATAAGGGTATACAGAAAACTCTTTCAACGTTGATAATCTATTTAACGATAAGCATATGGCGAAAAAGCTGTTAGCATAATATACTATTTGTGTGCAATATGAAGTACTAGCATCCTACACTGGCCTATAATATACTTCAGATATTCAGAAGGCAGGCACGCATCTGAAAACAAGAGCAGGTAATGTTTCATGGCACGTGTTCACATCGCCATAATCATCCCCATATTTTTGTTTATGTAATTCATTCTGCACATAAATTTTTGTCATGGAGAATGATCTCCATAGACAGTGGTGGCCACTATGTAAGGATAATAACTGACTGACTGATAGATCTTGCTAAACCTCGGTATGACTGGCATCCTGGAAAACTATTCCTTGTCAGTAAAATTAACATTCTACTGTCACTTCTCCAGATTTACGCGATGTAGCGCACAGTCCATCTGCTTCTAATAGCAAAGGAAACACTTTAGAAGTCCACAGCTCTATGGCATTTTAGCCCCTGCAGTGCAGTGGCACAAAACAGCATAAACATATTCGAGTACTTCAGTTCGTAGGCATATATACCAAAAATAAACCCCGGTTTTTATTCGACTCAACTGTTTCGCACTGAAGCACTAGAAGAGCTAAAATAAGATGGACCAGTAGTCTGCTTAAATCGTCCCATAGGCTACTAGAAGCAAGGGAACAACGCGTTGCGCCATTTAAATCCGCAGAAGTAACAGGAGAATGTTATATTTTACTGTTATACAGTTTAGTATAGTAAAGAATATTATTATAATGTGATGCACTACTCCAGAGTGCGCTTAAGTTTATTGCTACACATTTTAATATAACAAAATATCACAAAACGATTCTGTAAAATCATGATAAATGGTTCATCGACAAATCTTGTCGATTAACTTACCTCAGCAGAGCAGCAGATTTGAAGACAACTCTCTCATCATCTGGCAAAAGATCAGCCAAACTTTGTACTGAAATTCGATCGACCAGATGGCACATCAAGGCAGCAATAAGCAGTGCGTGATTCTCCAACCTGGATATTATTTTCATGCACTCCTTACGATCCTACGTCACGAAATGATGACGTCCTTAAAAGTTACCGAGTCATATCGTTAATTACCTTGGTCGTTTTCAGGGATGATGCGGTTTTGTCGATCCATTTGACAGCGTTGAGGAGATCGCTGTGTTCAAAATCCCTGAAATTTCTTTCTTTGAAGTATTGAAAAAACATAAAAGCCCTAAGGGCACAAAGAAAAAACTATTTAAAAACTAAATATAATATCTGACGAATATAAATAATCATTAAATCTGCACCCTGGCATGATGTAACTGCCACTTTTGATTCATTTCCCTTTCAAATATCAAACCACAACTACCGGTACTTGTGCAGCATTCTGCTTAAATAAACTTCCAGTTGGATACTTTCCCTGAGGAATAACACCATCAAATATAAATAATCAGCATATCACAAACAATTGGACATTGAAACGGAAAAGATAAACCATTCACATTAAGGTATTTAGCGTTTACAGCAATTGAATAATAGTACAATTATGACACTTGCATCGAGGTATTGTTATAAATTGACTGAAAATTCATCTGCCATACAAAAATAGAACAGTTATCATGGAAGACAAAAAACAAACTACTTTAAATTTTGTAATCAGCATGGCTAAAATGAAACAATTCATGTAATTCAGCGCCCTATCCATGTATATGTATACTCGTAGGCGATTGCGATATTTCTAGTAATACAATAATAATGCATTAACCGTACCTACTCAACGCATGCGTCGTTTTATAATTTTAGTATACAACGTATGTTCATATAAACATTCACGTGTTTTCGTTGTTTTCATCGTTATCTTATTTGCTACAGTCAAAGACCGAGTACGCGGAATAAAAATGCTGCCGCTTTGACTTCTTAAAATGACTAAAGAGCTGTTGGTGACCTCGGCAAAGGTCATATTCCTGGTCACAAGCAAGCCAGCATCTAGCAGCTGCGTTAAGGGGCGATGCTGGTTTCCAACGTGGCTGCGGCCATTTTTTGCTTTCAAGAGAAGAATGATTTCGGACAGGTCTCCATTCTCTCTCCGGATGGTTTAGTCAAAAGGACAGACGCCGGTACCTGATTTTTTCAAAAGGCATTCTCAAGCCAATCATCTTCAAGATATTTTCATTTATTCATTCATTCTGGAACCATCGCACTTTCAAAATGATCAGCGGACAGCGCTGCTGAAAAGTGTTCAACCAATT